ACACACACACACACACACATCTGCTCGTCTGGTCCTCTTTTAGAGACCAATCAATGAATGTATGCTTTAAAGCAGCGTGTCAGTTTGAGGACACGACGACAGCGATCCCTGGTGCCGTAGGACTGAGACGTCTCATCGTTCCTGGTACGGACACACGCGAGCAGCCTACCTGACTTTAGAAGAGCACCTCTTCCCTGGTGGAGAAAAATGGGGTTTATAAAAGGGAGATGAGTGTTCCCTGACCAGCAGTATTTGGTTGATGGTATTTGAAACAAACCTTTCAAGGCTTACCTCCGACATTTCCACAGCCATTTCCTCTGACTCTTATGCAAATTCCAGAGACGCTGACACCAACGTGTGGTGTATATTATGAATATAAATATGAATTTATCATATATTATCTTCATCTGTTCTCAGTTTTGGTTTATGTGACTGTTAATTTCATGGTTTGGGAAGAAATTTGATTTTTTTTTTTTTGCACATGAAATAATCACAGTTCTGCTGGATAATTTCTGATACTCGTTTAATGGATGAGTGTTATTTTTTTCTAAGCATTCACAGAAACCTCAGTCGGACGGCCGTATGATTTCATTTTTGTTGTTGTAATACACTATGCACTGATTTGTTAGRCCTTTTATTCTACGTTACAGGCACTTAATGGTGGCAAATCTATTATGCAGTTTACATACTGTTTTACATCTTTTTGACYGTTTTAACTCAAATTTAATCATCCTCTATTAAAGATGATTAAACCTAGGATTTCACTCTGGACTGTGAAAACTGAGAATGTATTGTATTTTATACATATATATGTATGTATGTGTAATAATATTAGTTATCTATTGAATTAAATTGCTCTACTTGTACGTTTGAGGTGTAAGCTGCAGCAGCTTAAACATTCAGCTTGRTAAAAACCCACATGGTCTCAGCGTTAGCTCTTTTTGATTCTGGCAACAATACAAGTACTTCTCTTGACATTTGAGGTTTTATTTTTCAGGAAATTAGAAGACAGCTGAGGAAATGACTGCACTGTTTTCAGATGTTAGTTTTTTATGTTGCAGTGAGGTCTRAAATATAAAAAAATAGATTTTTTTATATATAAAGTAACTTTTTCTGTGATTTGTCCTAAAAAACTTATCGCACTTAAGTGTTGCTTGGTTATGATCAACCTTGTTTTGAACTAGGGCTGCCACGATTAGTCGACTAGTCCCAGTTACTCCAGATTTACACTACATGCGTCTCCGCTCCGCTGCGCTGCGGTGCGCAGGTCTCAGCTGTTCGTTTGTGTCTCGGTTTATAAAGCCTACGTACCGCTCCGGTCCGACAGAGTGTGCAGGAAGGAGATCGCGCGATAATGTGGAAGTCACAGCAAAAATAAATAAATTCTGTGAAAGACGAACTCCAAACACAGCTGAAAATATTAATATAAAAGCTTTTCATATTTGTTGAAACTGTCTCGCTGTCATCTTTCTGAAACTTCTGATTTCAAAATAAAATCCATGTGTATCATGTGTGTACACACATGCTACATGTTTCCATCTGCTTCACAAACAGAACGATACATTCTGACAGCAGTTGTGTATAATATAGCTGGGATTTCGACATTATTCCGACAAATTATTCAGCCTAATAGTGATTTATTTTGAAAATATGGATCTTGTGCTCTTTTCTTTCCTTGTTGGTGCTTTCTGTTTTCTTAAAAATTTACTCCGGCACAGCTCCGGCAGAAAAAGGATCTGTTCTAATTTTGCCAGATCGCTGTCCGCTTACCGCCGCCGTGCGCAGCCAGTGTAAACACTCTCATTGATTATAATGGAAGCGTATTTGCTGCGGAGGTCGGACCGGAGCGGACCCGGAACGCATGTAGTGTAAATTAAGTGTTATTGCTGACTAATTTAATAGTTGATGTATGGATTTTATTTTATTTTTTTAACTTTGTTTTTCTCTCCAAACTGCTGCATCACCTTCCACTGCTGCGTCGGCCTTTCTGTCCTTGACACACATGCAGTAGAGTGGTAATTAGGGCTGCCACAAACAATTATTTTCATAGTACTATAAAAATAAAATACAAAGTTAGAAAAAAATGACGCATCGACTATTAAATTAGTCKTTGGCGATTTTAATAGTTGATAAAGTGGTGACTAGTCGACTAATCGTGGCAGCCCTATTTTGAACTTGGTACATAAATAATTGACCTTTTGAATAATYGTCACTTAACGTGAATACATTCATACACTGCAGCGGCCGGCAGTTCAACTTCATTTTATGAAGTTTCTGTTGCAACAATATGTTTTTAGGGGTGTGTTCCAAAACGGCTGCTTTATTAAACTTAAAATGAATTGTCKGCTGAATTTATGAAACATCTGATCACATCTCCCACATGATCAAAAGTTTTAATTCTTGCTCATTTCAGTCACTTTGACTGATCTGCTGATCAGATTTTTAACGGTTACCAAACTGATGTGCTGAAAGGTTAACCCTCAAATGTCTGAAAATGGTTTTTGCTTTCTTTTTGTTGTTTATGCCACAAGGTAGAACAAGTTTATCAGCATTTATTCCGATTTGCCTTAAACAGCAGATGGCATTCATATGGTTCCAGCTCCGCGGTGCTCTGCAGCCATTTTGATTTTAACTGGTTTTCGTGTTTTGACTGATCTTTTGCTTCCAGCACGTTCCAAACCCATTTCTTTTAATTGGGCTTCAGTGACTAAGACAAAGACTTACTGGTATTTATGCTAAGGTTAGAGGCCAACTCAGACTTTCTGGTCATACTGTTTTTTTTTATTTATTTGTTTTTGCCTTCTTGTTTCTCTGCTTTTTTATTTTTTTAAATTTTTGACATAAAAGTAAAATTCAAGCCTTTTCTGAGTAAACTCATATAACTTGCAGTCAAACATGATCCTAAGCTGTCTACTGATCAATCTATTGAGTTAACATTGATTCAGTGATTTTTTTTGTTTTGTTTTTTGTTTGTTTGTTTTTAAACCCATTGTGCATTTTTCTCATCTAAAACCTCCATCATGACTTTATACCAAAGTTTAGCAGTAATCGCTGCATTGATCCAATGCTGCTGAATGTGTGTTGTTTTAGTTTGTTTCTGTTTTTATTTTTAATATGTTTTGGACCTTGTTTATTTGTACATTATGTAAAGCATGTCTAAAGAGCCTTTTTTGTTACATAGCCATTATTCAAACATTAAAAATGCGTTTTCACAATTTGCTTTGATTCTTTACAGAGTAAAAGCTGTTTTATTTTTTGACTGTATACACAGTATTTTATTTTATTATATTTAGATACTTCATATGGGACTCAAATATATTTAAGAAATGCATTTACGATTAAAGGCCAAGCATTTCTTAAAGTAATGCATAATACTTTGCCCAAACATTTTCCGTGAGAGGGCCAAAATTAAAATCAGAGGGCGGTGGGCCAAATAATATAAGAAATGCAAATACTTAAGTAAAGCTGTTTTATTTTTTATGATTAAGCTAGCAGCCAGTGTGGTTGCCCACATTCTTTTTTTTACAGCCCATGGATATGGAGAAAATTCAACGTATGCTCAAGAAGCAAAGGCTCTTGGGACTTTTCATAATTTAAAATTTGAGTATATGGGGTCTTATAAGGTGCGCAAATCTATACAGCAGGTAAAATAAGTATTGAACACGTCACCATTTTTCTCAGTAAATATATTACTAGAGGTGCTAATGACATGAAATTTTCACCAGATGTTGCAACACATTCTCACTCCCGAGTCGTCACATATTGACGTTTTTCAAAAGGTCCCTTTGCGTCCAATTTTGACGCATCAGGTACCCCCCTCGCGTCAGTCCTTGCCGCCCGC